AGCCCAGAATCCCCTCCCACACCCTGAACCCCTCATACCTGGCCCCACCCCACAGCCTTGAGCCCCTCCCACACCCCAAACCCCTCATCCCCAGCTCTGTTGGGTCATGGGCATCAACAATTTTCTTCAACTGGGTTGCCAAAAAAAAATTTGAAAACCACTGACCTAAAGAACTCTAAATCCAGATTAACAACAAGATGCAACAAATGGATGAAACAAATGGGTGAAAGTGGCGGGGAGGGAGGGCAGCATGTTTTCATGTAGATTAGCTGTGCATGCAGTGTGGCTTGCCTCATTTTGGATAGGTTATTTTAGAGGTTAAGGTAGCGGCTATGAATTTTTTCAGGGAGCCTGTCTGACAGGTAAGGAAGAAAGCCTGGAGGTTCTCTAGGAGACATGGATTAAGAGGCGATGAAGGTTGGGTATGTTGGTAGAGCTCAATTGTTAGTTGACATCATGAGATGAGACATCTGGTAGGTAAGGCAGGGCTGCGATGAGATGTGCTTTGAAAGAGAGGATACGAAACTTATTTTTGATGTGGTAAAGAAGGGAGTCCCTGTGGAGGGATGCACAGAAAAGGGGTTGACATAACCTGAAAAAAAAGCCAGGTCCATAGAGAAGAATATAAGGGACTGGATGAGAGCTTTGGCAGTCTGGACTGAGAAAAGCTGGATCTTGGAGAAGTTAAGAAGGGAAAATGGCAAGATTTGGATATAGCCAGGACATGAGGGTCCATAGAAAGGCCTGAGTCAAAAATAATGACCAGATTACAGGCATGAGCAGCTGAGAGAAGGGTGATTTTGTTCAATCAGTGGCGACTGAGGACATGGAGAAGGAAAGATTTGCGAGGGAACACAAACTCTGTTTTTGCCATGTGCACTTTAAGCTACTGGCAGGGAATCCAAACGGGAGTTTTGTGAGTTGTCAATATAACAATCGCATCCAAAGCTGTGAGAGCAGATAGGATCCCAAAGACAGGTGCACAAGGAAAAGAGGGTGGGCTGAGGAGAGAATCCTAGCAGATTCTCGCTGATGGGGTGGGGGTGGGGGAGAGTTGGAGGACCCACCAAATTACACCTGAAAGTACGAGATGGAAGAGTCAGGAGAAAAACCATGAGAGGATGCAGTGACAAAAGCCAGTAGATGATGGGATTTAAAGAAGTAGAAATTCTTGATGGTGTCCAAGGCACTAAGAGATCAAGGAGAATGGGGTGGGGTAGAGGCCCTGGGAATTGTGTGAGACTTCAATAAAGTGGAGAGTATGGACCCAGACTGGGGAGGGTCACAAAGTTGGTTTGAGCATTGGCCTGGTAAACCCAGGGTTGTGAGTTTAATCCTTGAGGGGACCATTTGGAGATTTAGTTGGGGATTGGCCCTGCTTTGAGCAGGGGGTTGGATTAGATGACCTCCTGAGGTCCCTTCCAACCCTGATATTCTATGATTCATTAATAGAGTTGAAGAAGACAACCGTGCCGTGGTTGTAAACAGAATGTTCAGTTAGAATTGGAGATGAGGAGCAGGGGGGAAATCTGTCTCTTTGTACATGCCTTAATCTATCAATGCCTTTCTCTCTCTTAGCTCCTTCCTTTTCTTTTTTACTCCTCAGTTCGTACCACCCGCTGCTTGGAGCAGCACCCAGTTAACGTGGTCCAAGTGGCTTGCCTCTCTTCCTTAAAAATAATTGTTAAAAAATCTCCCTTCCCCTACATATTTTGTAAAGTGTCCTGCTCTCATGCTCATATGCAGTTCTGTGGCTGTACTGTAAGAGCTGCTGCTGCCTCTAAATCATAAACTTTTGGGGCAGGGTATCTGTTACCTGTTTGGTACCCTTCACTTATGTTACAGAGCTGGGCACAGTTAGTGTTTCTATTTTTTTTTTAAATATATATATGTGTGTGTGTGTTCATATATAAATAGAAAGGCATAAAATTGTACTTTTAACTATCTTTATAGCTAAATCTTTCAGACCCTGTGTCTTCTTTGCTAGGTGGCTGTGGTGCCCCACCAAGGTTAAAATCTGCTGCCTTAAGTACGGAAGATGCGACGAAGAATTACTGTCCTCCTGGGACCACTGTGAGTTATGTCTGTTGTACAGGATATGAGAGCATCGAACTGAGACATGTCGTTACTTGTCTTGAGAGTTAAACATGGTCAGAAGCCCCTGAGTTCTGTAGAGGTGGGTGTTCTTTTTTTTTTTTTTTGTCACTTTTCTCTCTCCATTGAGCGAGTGGCCCTTTGTGAGCAGATAGGAGTGTTTTCTGTTAAGCAGCTGGTTCACATTTCAGCAGCAGCTTGTCAATGATAGTTTGAAAAACCTTTTTGTCAGGTTTTGTCGTTAATTTTCAATTAAGTTTAAATGGCAAGAGAAAGCAAAGTGAGTACTATTGAACGTTAGACAGCGTGTGCAGTAGTTAAGCTTTTCATTTTGTTCTTTGTGCTTCCCAGCAGCAGTAGGAAATCACAAATAATGCAGTAAAGTTAATATCATACTCTGGTAAATATCCATTTAAAAATGGTGAGCACAGTATCCCTGGTAACTATATGTGAAGGAGAATAACGGTATTATTTTTGTTGTTGTTAAAATTCACACATTAAAAAATTCTAGCCTCAGAGACAACTCATTCAGCATGAAGTTCAACCAAACTGAATCACCGTATTAAAAAATGAATGTAATATTTAATAACTATGTGTATGGCAAAGTTGTTCAAATACCAAAATACATAACAAAACTTCAATGACGAATGGCCTGCATTGTGAAGAATACTGCAAGTTTTGGCAAAGCTCCCTGTATTGAGTCTGTATCTGTTGTATTCCATGCAAAACCTACATTAATACAGGGTGAGAGGAAGGAGCCAACTGAGTGATCACCCTTAACCGCAGCTCCTTGCATGTATGTATTATATTCTGTTTGACAAACATAGGCTATATCTTAATACTGATGTGAATTTCTTGGGCAGTCTTAGACTCAAGTAGTCTGGCATGCCTGCTTAGGAAAATACTTCATGTATATAACAGGCCATATATTATTATGTGCAAAAATCCTTGTCCACATCAAGGACAGAGATGTTTTCCCAATATAATAATTAGTGCTATTTGTAGCTTTCTCTGTGGCTCCCTGAATGCAGCATGTCTCTTCTGTTTGGTATGTGGACATGGTGAATGGCCAATGGTGTGTTCTGTCTGGTAATAAGTGCCTGGCACCAGAGGAAGCATCACAAATAACTCCCTGTACCAGGTAGGAGGAGTCTCTGCCATTGAAGTTGACAAAGTGATAGAATTAAACACTTAAAATGGACAATAAGAATATCCACAGTTAATTGACAACTCTGTAAGTGGGATAAGTCTGTCTTGTCTTTAAAGATGCAGATTCCTAAATATTAGTTTGGCAAGCTCCTGACTGAGTGGCCAGCTGATGATGGGAGACTGATGTCATGTTCATAACTGCTTTTTCCTCTTCTTTTTGCCTTAGTCATAATTACCCAGGACAAACCCACAACTGTTCCCCCCAAAGGAGCAGAAGTAGCTGGTACTTCCTCAGGTAAATTGGAAGAACTTGGATTTGCTAAAAATCTAGAATTTGGGGTTCAAATTTCCACTTGAATAAAAATGAAATGTACAATGTGAACGTCATTTTAATTTCTATAATTCTGCTATTCAAAGATTCAGCTATGACGATGCTCACCTAGTGCTTGCCTATAAACTTGATAGAGAGCTCGTTGTTCATTTGCACACTCCATGCTCTCCTGGTTTTCCTGCCTCTCTCATTGTTCCTGCGCCATTTCTTTTTGTTATCAAAGGCTTTTGGTGGGTCCTTCTCCCCCTTCCACTTTCCAAAGGATTACCACAGCGCTCTGACCTTGGCCCTTTCCTCTGATTCCTCTCAAAAGGAGAGTTACGTGGCCAATACCGTGGGTAAGGAATATTATTGTCTGGGCTGATTGATGGCAACTGTAATGAGAGGAATGGGGGCAGGGACCTCCTCTTTGTTCTACAGCGTTTCGCACAGTGGGGCTGTGAGTCATGACTTGAGCCCTCACGCGCTATTTTGACACAACTAATAACAACCATATTGACTGCAGTAGGGGGTGGCCTGTGAAAATCTTCTATCGCTCTATGGCGTCCAAGCACTGATCATTTCAGTGGCACAAATTCTATTTCTTAGCTGTAGATTTTCTTGGGACAAAGACAGTTAGTCTCCAACCATACGGTTATCCCAAGGATGAGAATTCACGAGTAGATAATTTACAGCTGAGAGAATTAGCTCTTGGAATGATGATGGGGTAATGCACCTAATGCGTGTGGATCTTCTGCTTTGTGCAGACTTGACGGTATACCCAACAGAGAGAAATATTAGAGAAAATCAAGTGGGTAAAACACTGGGAGGGGGTTGACTCTAGCAATTATTCAGCCTGACAGTGCTTTCACTGGCATGCTTGGGGGCTTTTCTTCAAATGTCTTGGGGAGACAATATGAGCAGTTGTAAATTTGATTCTTTAAAATTCAATATGTTTTGTCCTGTGCTTGGCAAGATAAATTTCACTCCAGTCTGTTTGTGGGTGTTGATGTCTTTACATGCCTGGAATCTCTGCCGGATTTTTGGTCTATTTTAACTGTAGGTGAAGGACTATTTTAAATAGTCAGTTGTGGGGAGAGCACCTCAAGTATTTTATAAAACTTTCTTTTCTGTACAGGTTCTGCGCTGAACACAGCTGGCAACTCTGCTGAGCCTACAGCTCCGGCGGCTGGGCTGGGGCCAGAATTTAAAGGGCCCGGAGCGCCTGGCCCTGCGGGGAGCCCACAGCCCTTTAAATCCCTCCTGTAGCTCCGGCCGCCGGAGCTGCGATGCGGATTTAAAGGGCCCGGAGCTCCCATGGCGGCCAGAGCCCCAGGCCCTTTAATTTGCCCCTGAGCCCCAAGGGCTCCCAGCCACAGCCGGTGCCCCAGGGCCTTTAAATCTTGAGAGGCCCAGCCTCTTCTGGTTGAGGCCACACCTCTTCCGGATGAGGCCATGCTCCAGCCAGGACTCCGACAGTACTGGTAAGTCCTGTAAGTTACTTTCACCCCTGCCCCAGAAACTGGTAGGGAGCCAGTGCAGAGTACAGGTGCCAAGTGCCCACTGAACAGCACCCCTTGCCGGTGCATGTTGACTCCTTCTGCATCTTTTCAATTTCAGAGGTTCTCTGCATCACCCCAGAAATCCAGAATGGAAGAAAAGTAGCTGGACGTGGACCTGTCTATAGACCCAGGGACACAGTTAGGTTTGAATGTGATCCTGGCTACACCCTGAATGGCAGCCGTCAGATTCAGTGTCGAGATGAAGGAACCTGGGATCCTCCTGTTCCAGTCTGCATACAGGGTAAGTGTGAATCTAGGCTGACTGCTGGGTAACTGAGATGATCAATATCTGGTAGGGTTGTGCCTCTAGAGGCAAAAAAATAAACATCCTTTGAATCCTGGGGTCACTTTTCAGCTGTGAATGGGGAACATACAAATATCCGCCCATCCCCTAATCTCTTGACTGTGCTCATCACTGTGATAGCTGATCCCCTGCATCCTGCCCTGCCCTCCTGACAGACAGAGATCTGGCAATGGTCTGTCTCACTGAGCGTCCTAAAGGTGTGAATGGAAACACAAATCAGCAGAACTCTCCCCTGACTACTCCCTTTTTGGGGAGGCATCACTTCATTGTACAGCATCTGGAGCTTAGAGCAACCTGCACCCTCAATGTGAAGGTGCGTTTCTCTTCTGTTTGCGGCTTCCCTTTGCCTCGCTCGCTGTGTAAGACATACATGAGAATTTAAATTGAGACCACACGAACTTTGAGACAAGCCACCAATTCAGCAAATTCCACAGCTGGGGACTAAACTTCCAGTGAGACACATGGGCCAAAGTCACTGCTGGCAAGAGGAACTCCTTTAACTTCAGTGGTTGTGCCTCCACTCGTACCATGAATTATGATTCTGCAAATGTAGCTAGGTAATGTTCATGGTGAAAGAATTGACACAGGTGACAAGAGGACGTCAGAGTGTAGAAATAGTTATGAAATTGAAGTACAGTAAAAGACCTCAAAGGAAATGGCTCAGTCCATTCCACCCCACACGTGCGTTGGAGTCTAAAGGGTTTGTTATGCTTTCCCTTTCAGTGACGTGCATAACCCAGAAGTGGAGAATGGCAGAACAAATGGGGTACTACAGCCTGCCTACAGACCCAGAGACATCGTTGTGTTTGAATGCAACCCTGGTTACACCTTGAGTGGCAGCCCCGAGACTCAGTGCCAAAATGATGGTAGATGGGATCCTCCTGTCCCTGTCTGTGAAAGAAGTAAGTGTGACTAAGGCGTTGATGGTGGGTTATCTTTGATCCCATTGTGATGAGTAAGATCTGGCAGGGCTGAGTATTGAGGTCAAAAGGACTGTTGGATTAGTTTGAGATCTGAAAAGGGAAATGCAAATATCTGTGTAGCTATCCCAGTGTTTCCCATGCTCCTCTCCATAGTATCTGGGCTTTTCTACTCTCCAAAAATATTCCTGAAGAACTGAGTCCTGGTCAGCTTTGCTGACTTAACCCCCCTCCCAAGTTAAGGGAACTTATGGATGGCCCCTACCAACCAAGAAATAGTCCCAAAGTAGCAGCATTTCCAATGTAAACACAAAATATACAGTGGAAATAGCCCTTGCTCCCCTACTAAGGCAGCTGGCAAAATGTCTGAGGGTTACAAGAAGCATGACTGAGTCATCGTGCTTTATGGGTATTTGGTGGGATGTGACTGGATGGAGGTAGGTAACTTAACCCCTGCTGTGCATTTGCCTCACTGCTGTTGCGTTGGGCACAACTCAACACAAGCATGTGGATTTTTTCCCTTCTGGAGATCAGCCTGTATCAGCTGTGCTTCAGTTAAGACTCTCTTCCCTCCCTGCAGTGTTGCAGTGTCCCTCTCCTCCAGCCATTGCCAACGGGAAGCCCAGCGGCTGGGACTTGGCAGTGTTCACCAGTGGAATGTCCGTAAATTACAGCTGTGAGCCCGGCTACTCCCTAACGGGGCAGGCATCTATTTATTGTACGGCATCCGGAATGTAGAGCCCTACCCCTCCTCGGTGTGAAGGTGCGTTTATGTTCTGTTACCTAGAACTAAGAGGAAGAAGCTCCAACCACAGGCTTTAACTCAAAAGACAAGGTCACCAGTGCAACAAATTTAATAGCAGGGAATTAAAGCTCCATTTAAATAGGGACAGAGTGAAATAAATGTTTTTGAAAATAAATGTGCTGTATGCAAACTCTGCACTCCTATGCACACACACACCGCACATTAGCGAAATATTAAAAAGCTGCACTTGTCTGATACCCTGGGTACCCTTAACATAAATTAGAAACACTAGCAGATAATCTCCACGCTCCCCTCACATTCACAGACAGACACGCTATCCCCACCTTTGCTACATGCTGAGTGAAGTGGAAAATGTGTCCCCCAAAAGCCAACAGGCCAGTACTGTTTAAGACCAAAGCACCAAACTGAGGGCCCCTCACCGGGAGCTCTCCCACCAGCCCTGCTCTCTCTGTCACTGAGAGGGATCCATCTGGGGCCTCTATTCACCACGAGAGGAGCAGTATGGTACCCATGGGATGTGGTTTTAGGCAGGCTAGCACTAAAGTGTTTGCATTTTAGAGGTTAAAAGCAACACCATAAACTCTCCCCAGAAACTGGTAGGGAGCCAATGCAGAGCACAGGTATCAAGCGCCGACTGAACAGCACTGCTTGCCGGGCAGGCTGACGCCTTCTGCACCTTTTCAATTTCAGAGGTTCTCTGCATCACCCCAGAAATCCAACATGGAAGAAAAGTAGCTAGACGTGGACCTGTCTATAGACCCAGGGACATAGTTAGGTTTGAATGTGATCCTGGCTACACCCTGAATGGCAGCCGTCAGATTCAGTGCCAAGATGACAGAACCTGGGATCCTCCTGTTCCAGTCTGCATACAGGGTAAGTGTGAATCAGGGTTGACTGCAGGGTAACTGAGATGATCAACATCTGGTAGGGTTGTGCCTGGAGGCTAAAAAATAAAAGTCCTTTGCATCCTGGGGTCGCTTTTCAGCTGTGAATGGGGAACATACAAATATCCGCCCATCCCGTAATCTCTTGACTGTGCTCGTCACTGTGATAGCTGATCGCCTGCATCCTGCCCTGCCCTCCTGACAGACAGAGATCTGGCAATGGTCTGTCTCACTGAGCGCCCTAAAGGTGTGAATGGAAACACAAATCAACAAAACTCAGCCCCCTCTCAACAAATTTTATTTTGGATTCTTAAGGCAATCAAGGGAAATTTGTAGGTACAGAAAAGTAGCAGATTGGGAAAATCTGAGTTTGCGGGCGAAAGGGGATCTAGGTAGGTGATATTTAATCTTTTTTGATGTGTTGCATCACTGGTGGAATGGAGGGTTTAACATAACACATGCATCCTGGGCTTTCCCCCTCCTGCAGACCAGCCTATTTTAAGCTCTTCTTAAACAGGATTCAGATTTTCACTGAAATATTCTTCTTCCACTCTCCCCCGTTAGCGTTGCCATGTCCCCCACCTCCGGTCATTGTCAAAGGGAAGCACAATGTCAAGCCACTGGCAACTTTCAACAGTGGAACATATGTGAACTACAGCTGTGAACCCGGCTACGCCCTCTGTGGAGAGGCTTCGATCTATTGTGCCACATCTGGAACTTGGAGCCACCCTTCTCCTCTATGTGAAGGTGAATGGATTTTCGGTTGGCTTCTTCCCTTTGGCTGTAGATGTGTCAGTCACTCGACAGGATTTAAAGCAAAAGAAGGAATGTTCAGACACACCAATGAATGCCACAAAATTCACAGCTGGGAATAGATCCCCCAGGGAGACACACAGGGCTATAATCACTGCTGGCACAAGAAGCTCAGTTGACTTCAGTGGAATTTACATACTGATGCCGGTGGAGAGCACGGCTCTCTGAGCACTGCCGGACAAGATTACAGTTGAAAGAATTTATAAAAGTGGCAGCAGGAAGATGGAATCGTGTAGAAATACTAATGAAAATGAAGTTAAAAGTATTTGGGGAGATGTAAATGCGATGGAGGGGAAGGTAGGTAGGAAACTTTACCCCTGATGTGTGTTTGTCTCACTGCTGTTAAGCACAACTGAAAACGAGTATGTGAATCTCATATTCAATCTGTGATCCACTATAACCCCTGAATTCTTTTCAGCAGTACTACCACTTAGCCAGTTACTCCACTTTTGTAGTTGTGTATTTCATATTTCCTTTTAAAGTGAAGTACTTTGCAATTGTCTTTATTGAATCTCATCTTGTTGATTTCAGACCAATTCTCGAGTTTGTCATGGTCATTTTGAATTCTAATCCTGTCCTCCAAATTGTTTGCACCCCTCCCAACTTGGTGTCATCTGCACATTTTATATGCATACTCTCCATTCTATTATCCAAGTCATTAATGAAAATATTTATTAGTACCAGACCCAGGGCACTGACCACTGCAGGACCCCACTAGATATGCCCTCCCAGTTTGACAGCAAACCATTGATAACTACTCTTTGAGTACGGTCTTTCAACCAATTTTGCATCCATCTATAGGAAATTAATCTAGACCACATTTCCATGGTTTTCTTATTGAAAATGTCATATACCAGTGGTTCTCAACCAGGGGTCCGGGGCCCCTCAGGGGGTCTCAAACAAGTTTCCGGGGGTTTACTAAGCAGGACCAGTGGGTCCCAGGGCAGAAAGCTGAAGCCCCACTGCATGGGACTGAAGCTTGGGGCCCTGAGCCCCACCACCGGGAGCTGAAGCCAAAGCCTGAACAACTTAGCTTTGTGGCTTTAGCTCCTGTTCTTTCCCTGTTTTGGCTTGTCTTCCTTCCTTTTTCTTGTTAATATTATCTTGCGTATCTGGTCACCATTAACCTTTTAGTGAAGGCTGAAGCAAAATAGGCATTAAACACCTGAACCTTCTTGATGTCATCAATTAGTTCTCCTTCCCCAGTATGTAGATGACCTATAATTTCCGTTGTCTTTCTCCTTGCTTCTAATGCATCTAAAGAACCTCTTCTTATTCCCTTTTATGTCCCTTGCTATGTGTAATCCATTTTGTTCCTTAGCCTTTCTGATTTTGTCCTGTCATGCTTGCGCTGTTCTACAAAACGTTAAAGACAGAAATGACTTAATGGGTTTTCCCCCCACAAACCAACTAAAAATAAAATCGCAGTTGCCTGCCTTGAAGAGCTTGAAGTCTTTCTCCTGCTTCAACGCAGTACTGAGCTAGCACATAAAAACTAAAGACTGAAACAGACTATGAATTGAAAGCCTGGTAAAACTCCCACTGACTTCAGTGGGCCAGGATTTTGCCCTGTATGTCTACATTCCTCCAGCGACAAGGCAGCAAATTACACCTTGGTACAGTAATAGGATTAAATGTTTGCTCTTGTCACTTTTAAGTGAATATAACTACACCCAGAGCTGTCCCCTTGGATATGGAGAATCGGGGTGACTGCTCCTGGCCCCGTACTTTGGGGGGGGGGGCGCAGGCTGGTGCGATTGGCCCAGCGTGGTAAGTCCCACCCCTCTAGAGATGGCCCTAACTACACCTAAAAAACCTGCAATCTCATCTTCTGCAACTTACTTTCCTCCTCTTCTTGAAATATTGTTATTGCTGACTTTATTTCAGAGATCAGATGTGCATTCCCAGAAGTTCAAGGTGGCAAGAAGGCAGTAGCGGGAACTACATATCGATTTGGAACTAATGTTACTGTAGAATGTGACAACGGTTATGTGCTAGAAGGCAGCAGTCTGATACAGTGCCAACATGACTTTACCTGGAATCCTCCTGTGCCAGTCTGTAAATCCAGTATGTATAGAATAAATGGGAAAAATGCATGCTCTTGAGTTAAGTCTTTGCTGCGATGAGACTGTAGCAAGCCTAACAGTAGATGGCGAATATTTGATTTTTATTCCCTGTGTTAGGTTTCCACCTAGTGGTCAAATGAAAATAGAGGTTGAAATGAGATTTGCCCTTTGCAGAATCTGCAACACAACCCCCCTGTCTATTTTGAGGCCTGCTTTACACAGAGATTTCCAACACTAGACGGGTCTTTTTTTAAACCCAATTTAGTAAAACCAGTGCAAGTTTGTGTGCAGACAAGATAAAATGTTTCTTTGGCTGCGTAGACAGTACCTATCTAGGATAGAAAAGAGATTGTATGTAAGGTTTTCAAATTTTTATTTGAACAAAGCTACACGGTTACACAAAGTGAACTCAGTGTGTGGATATGTCTCCTGAATATATCTGCATCAGTTGTTTCACGACACATACAATAAAAAGACTAATACCTGGTCTCCCCCACACAGTTGCAAGGGCTTAACTAAAGGTGCTATTTTTTTTTAAAGCAGATTTAATCATACTAGTGCAACTTTGTGTGTGGGCACTGAAAGGAATTCCAACCTGGCTTACAGCAGTTTAGCCTGCACCTATAAATTATGAATGCAAGCTAAACTAATATAAGAATTTTCAAACAGATATAAGCGTGCCCACACAGAGGCTTGCACCCGGTTAACTAAATTGATTTAAAGTCTGATTTAACTTAAACCAGTGTGATTTTTGTGTGTAGACAGGCCCTAAATATGGGAAGGTAAAAAGCAAATTCTCTCAACTTGAGGCCTGTCTAAAATATAATATGATGTCCTAATATGGTTTGAGTGTATGTAGAGAACACCAATCAGTGTTACAACCATGGCTTTTGTTTTGCTGTGCTGATTGGCTCCCCAAGGGGAGCTTTTCACGACAGTTATGTTATTCTGAGTAAAACTCACTGCATTTAGGTTGGAGTTTTCAAAATATGCCTTAGTCTTTACTTTAAATTTTCTCCTTATCAGTAAAAGGCAGTTCTGTAAGCAACCACTTTGTCCTGTCAGCTTAATTCAGTGTGTGTGTGACGTGCTCCCAAGACCCTCACAGCTGATATGTGGTTGATTTAGCAGGTGAACTGAAAGAGATTCTCTCTTGCTCAGCCGCTCAATACAGTGCTGAGCTTTCTCCTGTGCTGGCAGAGG